CCCTAAAGTCCCCCCAGCATTTCCCCGTTTGAAATCATGGAGACCTCCAACCACAAAAAAAAAAAAAAAAAGACTAAATTCTGTCTCGGTGCAGTCTTTATGCCTGCAATAGGAGAAAGCAGCATCTTTGAGGGTCGGGCTGTGCAAAGGGGAGTAGTGCTGCTCTCCAGCTGCCCAACTCTCTGGAGTGGCACAAGAGGGAGCCTCCAGTCCAGCACTTGAACGTGGGTGCTCCTGCTCTGGGGTGGATTTCCTCCACGCCATCAGGTGGGTGTAGTGGGTGTAGCCTGGCGTGCACGGTGAGGAACTGACTGCCTTTTTTTTTGTCCTCTTCTCCCATTTCTCAAGGATGAAGCCAGTGAGCAGCAGCAACGATGTGGCTATGGATGCCTTAGATTTTGATCGAATGAAACAGGTGAGTGGAGAGGTCTTTTTTGCACTTCAGAGGTTTGACGAGCTACCCATTTTCCCCCATGCATGCGCTGTACAAGCAAAACAGCTGTTCAGTCTTCTGATTTCCTCTACAACTAGGCGCTTAGAGGAGGGCTAGCTGGTGAGCAGCAAGAGAGCACAGTCTCACTGCTGTTTGAGCGAGATGTCTGTACGGAAACGTGCAAATAAATAACACCAGCATCTTCTGAGTCCTCGGCCTGGGAGTGCAGACGTAGCTGTTAGCAGTGTCTAGGGCTCTGATCGTCAGCGGAGGCGGGGGACGCAGCACTGCCGTGTTAAACTTGCATTTTCTTCCACCGGTGAGAAGGAAATTCTGAGCAGCTGACTTGTGTTTTGTCTCATCAGGAAATATTGGAGGAAGTTGTAAGAGAGTTACACAAAGTGAAAGAGGAGATAATTGATGGTAAGAAAGAGAAAAATCATTATTTTTCTCATCTTTATGACTAATTTCCCATAGATAAGATGATAGGAACTGCAGAGAGTTCCCTGGTGTTTTCAGACTTCTCTGAGCAGCTCTGATTTATACACACATTTGAGGAACAAGCATCTGCCTTATCTGAGCTCTGATCCTGACATTATGTTTACATCCTTTATTTTTATGCTGTTGACGAGCATTTTCACCCCCAACCTGTGAGAAATTCACTGGCCGGTGTTTCTCACAGGTGGGAGGGTGAGAAAGGGCCTGCCCGTAGCCCGTGGCATGTGAATTTATCACAATCAGGGAGCGTGAAATCACCTGTAACTAGCTGGCCACACAGGTCCGGGATGAGGAGGGGACAGAGTACTGAACTGAAAATCCTTCCCGAGCATCTTTCGTAGGCTTCCTGGGTTTGAAGAGCTATTTCAGACCTTCAATCGATTAGAGTTTTCCAAATAGCCACGTATTTTTCTAATTTATTGAAAAGTGCAACATTTGTACTAAATGTATCAGTACTTTTTTATAAATTACAGTATGTGACTGAACGTATTTTTCAGAGCCGTTATTGAAACACACAGCAAAATACCTATTAGAACCCTGCCTTAGGGCATCTGAAGATGCATGTCCACATGCTACATGCCCCCATCTTAGATTCACACAGAAGGGGGGTGGAAAAAAAACAAAGGAGACTGTAAAACAGCTAGAAATCTATTCCCTGTCCCCTTGCCCTAGACCCATGTGTTGACAAAAGGGTTTGCAGTTGAGGAGACCCTGGCCCTTATGCTACTGTCCTGGCAGCTTGGTCCTCAGAGCTTCCCGAGTTCATTCCAGTGCAAAAAAAAGACATTCCCATAAACCACAGATGCAACTTCTTGAGCCAGTACTGCAGTTTGCAAGCAAACAGCTGACTGCTTACCCTTACTCATTCTTTTACCCTCCACTCATCCTTCTACCAGCGTGTATTTTCTGCAGCCTCTACACTTAGCGTTTTCCATCGCCCTGGGTGTAACGTTGTGCATTAACTCTTTGGTTTGGTTTTCTAGCCATACGGCAGGAGTTGAGTAGAATCAGTACAACATAATGATGGCAAAGCATTTGGACGGTACTAAGAATGCTAGGAAGATCGGATCATTTCTAAGTGTACCAAGGTCATGCAAGATGGTGAGAGAGGACACCGGCACTGTCTTTGTTCTTATACCCTTTTTATTAGCAGACTCAGCACACTTTGAAGCTTGCTGCTGCCTTGGATTCGCTTCATTTTAAAAGTCTTAATCTAAAGAATATTAAATTTTAAATTTCTGGATTTTTTAGATTTCATCTGACACTGCACATTGGATTTGTCAGCCTTTTTTGTATTTTGTATTTGCTTATTTAAATGTATTACCTTTCTTTTTAGTAGTAGATAAGAACACACGTGAACCATTTGCTTTTGATAGATGACTTCAAAGTAATTTTACTAGTAGTCTGCAATGTAAATGAAGATCCTTTGCCAACAGAAATGTATTGTGGCATCACCAGAAGAAACAGAGACATGTTAGTTGTCAGCCAAGAAGTTCTTTGTCTCAGAGTTATCACAATATAAAAAAAAAAAAAATGGTACGTCGGTGCATCACAGTATCTGTGTTCATATTGGTAATAAACTGTTTATTGTCCACATGGCCCTGCCTTCCTTTGTTTCATTTATCCTTTGAGCTCCCACTCTTTGATGTCGCTTGGGTTGACGATGAGAAGGTGGTGCCCGAGACTGAAAAAAAACCATGGCTGAAAAAAAAACCCAGATCCCATCACCTGTGCTCCTAAGAGCTCCCCGTAAATAAAAGGGAGGTAGTTGTGCAGAACAAGGCTACAGAAGGCATTAGGAGGGTGGAAGAGGAAATCACTGCCACAGCACTGCTGAACTAGAGGCTTAAGGGGAGTCATTTGTTAATATCTTACATGTTGCATTCGTCTTGAGCTTCATTTCATGGAAGTGAAGTCAAAGATAGAAGTACAGGACACTGAATCAGTCATAGCTTTCAGGTCATGCACTTTTTTTTTTTCCTTTAGAGCCATTCTTTCCACCAGTGCAATCTTGGGGATTTCTGCTTGACTTAATTTGGTGCAAGCTTTACACCACAGTTGTCTTGATACCATCTTCTTGATAACTTTGTGCAAAAGGCCAAGGATTGGAGTTCAGCTATGGAAATCTGTCAAATATTTCCCCAGCCCCCTGCTTTGCTTCAGGCCTTCCTGAAGCTTTTCTTTTTAAAGTCAGGCCCCAGTTATGGCTTCGGGAGCAGAGCCTGGCACAGCAGCCCAGAAGAGGCTGTGGCTGTCCCCTTGATTGTGTCCCCCAGAGCTCTCAGAGGATGGCAGAGGCAGGAGACACTGCCTGCCAGGTCCAGGAGAGCCAGGAGAGGAGGCGGGGTAGGGCGTGCTTTGCAGTTAGTTGTAAAATATTACCTGCTTTGGCTTGGAGAGCAGGCGGTTGGCCTTCAGCACTCTTCAAAGAAACATATAACCTGCCTTTTAGAAATGTCTTTTTTACAACGTCGTTATACTTTAGATGAAATACAGGAGAAATGGGAGAAATCTGAGTTTAATGCAACGGTGAGCTCCAGACTGATCCTGATGGCTGTTTGCTGTTGAATGGCAGCAGAAGGCGAGAGACAGGTTAGGCAGCAGGGTTAAGATGTCCACATGGGAACTAAAGCAGGCAGACATTGATATGCACCACAATACGACAAGCCCAGACCAGGAGAAGGAGCCTTTCCAGTAGGAAGAACACAGACAAGCATCAGTAATAGCAAAGATTATAATGCTCTGTTGCATAAATCTCGTACAGTAGCTCATGCGTTTCTTAATTATAAACCCATATAATGGCCTACCAGACAACGGCAGGTAGTTTTCAAAACTGCTGCCTCTCAGATGATCACAACTGTTTAGTGAAACTCTCCCGTAATCTTAATTAAGCTTCAGGAAGTTGGGGCCTGGCACGGTTCATGTCTTGCCTTGGAATGTGGCATTATGCCTAAGGTCAGTAATAACTGCCTTGTAATTCAGCTTGGCTATGCTGTGCCCTCTGTTAACATCAGCCACCTGCTGTAAATGAGTTTTTCCTTTCTTGCTTCTTCTACCTTTGCAGGCCTCGTGTAATTAAGACATAATGAGCTGCAGTTTGCACAGGGCCACTTAACAGCTGTGGGAGCAAGGTGCGCAGGGGTGGAAGGAGAAGCTGGGCTGATAGGGGCAGGGGAGCAGTCCTGGTGTCACCAGCATTTCCCTGGTTCCCACCTTACAGCTCCTGCGATGTGCAGAGATGTGGAGAGCAGCTTATCCACAGTAGTGACACTGCCAGAAGGAGTTCCCCCTCCCTCACGTGGGTTGAGTTTGCCTGTGGGCTCTGTAGAGAAGGGTGTCACAGAATCACAGAATCTTCTAGGTTGGAAGGGACCTTAAAGATCATCTTGTCCAACCATCAACCTAACTGACAAAAATAGACACCCACACAACAAACAAGGAGCATCATCACTAAACCATACCTCCCAGCACTACATCAACCCGTCTTTTGAACACCTCCAGGGATGGTGCCTCAACCACCTCCCTGGGCAGCCCATTCCAATGGGCTTGCGGAGGGTACTGCTGCAACAGGGCAGGCCCCAGGCATCTCACATCAGCAGAAATCAAAAGGGGCACTCACCTCCACTCTAACCTGTCATACAGCTCTGCGTCCCTCCTATTTCATCTTGCCAGAGCATTAGTATGGCCACACAACAAAGGGGATCTGGATTAATTTTTAAGCAACGAGAATAAAACTATAGATAGCCCCAAGTGTTCTTTTAACACAGACCCATTTGCCCTGTGGTATAAAAAAAAACCAAACCTGCTTCTGGAAACTTCACTGGTAGTGGCAAGGACAAGTACCCACGGGGAGGACAGGATCACAGCCTTCTCCAGCAGCACCCACACGTATTGGAACTCCACTTGCACCACACATCTGCAGGCACCAGGCTTCCATCCACTTCAGATTCCCACTGAGATGGAGAGTGCAGAGCAGGAGGGCTGTAGGGCTCCCCAGGCAAAGCAAGGTGGGCCTGTCATGGAAATACTGATGGGAGGCAGGATAAGAAGCTATTGCCAATTTTGGCTACCCTCTATTTACACCACAGCCTCTGTGTCAGGCTAGGCTAGTAATCTATAGACCACACAGGTCACTGCATCATGGAAGAGCTGAGTAAGGGAAAGGTGACTCTCCATAGAGGAGAAGGACCATAGTCAGATTAAAGAAGATAGCATAATCTTTATTGTGGTTTTTATATTAACTTGCGACATTGGCCAAGCTTGCTAAGGACACGGGAAGTTGAATGTGTGATCATGGAGTGGCAGCAACACTGAAGTAAATTAATAAAGTGAAGCTCCTCACATGAACACAAAGAACTCAACAGTAGTTCCCACACCAAAGCCTCCTCCTCTGGGAGAAGAGGTACCTGAAGAACCAGTGAAGTCTGAAGCGTTAGAAGAAATCCTGTTCTTCCTCATCTTTTCCAGAAAGAGAACGAGACCAAAACAATATCTGTGAATGAACTGGTGTCCAGCCCCTGCATCACAAAGGTATTTACCCAGACACACGAGGACAGGCTCAGCTGCCCACTACGCCAGGCTAGCTCAAGGACACACTGACTCACGGGATCCAGTGCTGTAGGAGGAAGGAATGAAACTGTATTTATGGAGAAAATGGGCTTCCCAGGTCTAATGGCATACTTCGAGAGACCCAAAGCAATGCAGAATAATCCTTTTCTTTGTTACAGACATGGATTTCCAGAGGAAAACAAAAAAGTCATACTGTTAGAGGGTTAGGGTATACAAGGACCTTTGTAGATCTATTCTCTTTTAACCACTTGGTAAGGACAGAAATAAGTTGTTAGCTTTCCAGGGTGGAGGGAAGTTATAAGATGGCACCTGAACTCCTGACTCCCAGGATATCATTCTGCTTGGTGATTAAGGTTTTTGACGACACATAATTATTGAGGGTAGCCAGAAGTTGATAGTTGGAGAGGACAGGCAGGGAAGGCTTATTCCAGTGGGTAGACATAGCAGATGAAAGCTACCGTGAATAACACAAAGTAAGACACCTAGGGAGAGACACAACCCCAGCACCATGTTCCCTGAACACCCATCCCCTTAGCCCCATCAGTGACAGATTTTACATAGTTGGAGCATCACTTACTTCCCAAATGTCATCAGTGCCCCTTGAATGACAGAACAAAAAAGTTACAATTATTCTGAAAGCAGTTAGAAACAAATACTACCGTAATGTCTCCATGTCTTCACTGGCACATACTCCTGTTGACAGAAAGGGCTATAACACAGAGAAGACCAAGAAAGATGATCAGGAATAGTAACAATCTTCGTAAGCAGCAATTAAATCTAGCACCTTTCCACCCTCAGAAAGCCTTATAGTGCGGAAAAGTATAAGAAACAAGAAACTATGAACACTATTGAAAAGCTGAGTGAGGAGGGACCACCCAGTTCCTCTGGGGACGCATCCAGGTTGCTGATCAGATAGCAAGCAGACTAAAGGAAAGGTTTCTCCATGTCACACTTCATCTCTGCCACTTAGCAACACTGAGTATTAGATCTTAAGAATAGTAATGGATTCAGAAAAAGTTTATACAAAGCCCTGGAATAAAAGTCAAACAGCAGCTACTAAAATAATGATCAAAACGTACAAAAACATAAACATATTTCATTGCATATACAAAATCTCTGCTACCAGCCATTGTCAGAAGACACTAGATTGAGCTAAAGGCACCCTTGTGTTCTCCAGAAAGTATCATTTGCTGCTGCATGCCAGTCCTCCTGGCTTCTGCAGTCCTGTGCATGCAGAGCATCCACACCTCATCTGGCACCAAGAGAAGCCGGTCCTCAACTACACACATGCGTGCTCACACATACACACACCATTCTCTGTTGCAGACCAGGTCAAAGCTCACATGTGGCCCAGGAAGTTAACTCTAAGCCTAGACCAAAGGTTCATATAATCACAGCTCACTCTAATCTACATTCTAAGGGCTACATATACAAATATCCTTTGTTAAAAAGTATCAATAATCTGAAATAGTGCATCCAACTGCTTCAGTTTCACACTCATCCTCTTGGTCCAAGGAGCACACACCAATGCTACTTCAGCACACAAACACATCCTTCTGCAGAAAATTCAAGTCATTCAGATGAACAAACAAAACACGGATGCAGCAGACGGAGTTAGTCCATTAGCTTTCCTTCGCCAGCTTGCATAGTCTCTTAACCCTTGAATAAGGGCCAATAGTGTCATCAAAAACAAAGTCCCACAGAACTCGAATCCAGGACTGGTGATGTGGGAGGTTATCGTAATATTCTGCTGCAATCTTCTTCACCTGGAAGAAGAAGAAGAGAGAGAACGAGCCGTTTAGCTGCAGAGTGTCAGGTGCGTGTCAGTCTTCACGTACAGATCTGATAGCACAGCCATAACCTGAAGTTACTTGTTACTGCTTGTGAACTTCTGAAGTTCAGCCAAACCAGCTGTACTTAAACACATTTAGATACTTCTTAGCAGATTTCTGATGTAAGTTTTGCCTCACGTGTCAGAAATTGAAAGCTGAGGGATCATTGCCTTCAGCCAGAACTATTTTCTCTCATTTGGGAGGTGGAGGGATCTCCACAATGAGATGACTAATCCACCTTATAAATTGCCAAGACTCCAACACACTGTATTTAAAGCCCTGCTTGCCACTCGTTATACTCGTCTGCTGAGGGTTCCGGGTAGGAAAGAAATATCAATTGAGAAAATGCCAGTCACAGCCTTGCCCACACTTAGTTCCCTTTCCTCCATTTGGCTACCGTGATGCAAATCTGAGAGACGGGTTCCTCCAGCAGGCAGAGGAAACTGCAGGGGCGGTCCATTCTCTTCAGTCTAGTGTTAAAAATGGTGCAAAATTCATTATTAGATCATGAGTCTAATAAAATTTCAGCCCTGTTACAAATCCCCAAGCCTTAAGACTGTTGCCATCAGAGAAGCACTGCGCATTGTTGGGGATGGTGCTGGTAGTAAGGCCAGAACCAGAGGACAAAGAGGCTTCAGACCTGGCAGGTTGAGTGGATGATGAGGATTCCCAAGTTATCATTAGTCCCTGGCTCCAGCTAGATGCTCTTTTTGAACACATTTACGAAGCAGCAGAGTCTGTTAACTATTGTATACCTGTACATAAATTTCTGGGGCACGGTTTTATTACAGCTCCACCTCTTAGACAAACAAAGCTCTGTTCTAGAGTAGCTTGTCCTGCTGGACAGCATGACTTGTTGCTTTAGAAACCCTGCAGAATGTTAAAGCCAGCTATGCTGAGCACAGTACGGACTTCCAGTGACGAGCAAGAGGGTTACACAGAAATTGTCAACTGGGAGGAGGGTCTCATCAGCATTCGAGGTGTAATGGTAGAATCTTAGCACAGCATTTTGACTGTGAAGCGGGGAGCATCCCAGCAAAAGTTAAATTATAAGCCAGTACCAGTCACCACCAGTTACCTCATTAATTCAGCTTCCTAGCAGATGCTTCCCAATGAGGTAGGCTGGGTAATGTACAAGTTCCATTAAGATCTTTTACTTTTGTACCTCAGCTCCTACGTACTCCTTGTGCTCATGGCAGTCTTGTGTTGGAGGTGGAAGATTCTGTTATGCTCTGACTGTATTCTGCCTTCCACTGAATACCTCGGATACATAATTCCCTATATCCTGCTTTATAGTGTTGGTCTGTGCTTCAAATGTGGTTAATTTTCAATGGGGTTCAGATAATATCAGCATTTTCCCCTAGAGGTATTTGTTAATGACTGGAAGAAGGGTGATTTCCAGGCACCAGGTAAGATCTCTGGAGATGGAGATTTTATTTCTGACTGGTTGCAGAAGGAGCTAATTTAATTTGGGTTTTGTATCCTCCCTTTTCCTAGCTAGGTAATTGAAATAGCCAGAGGATGAGAGGGAGGACTATTTAGACAGTGAGCTCCCTTGAATGAAAGCCACTAGTGAGGCCTCTTATGCAAACACAAAGCAGGTCTCGGATACCCAGCCCCCAAAGCTTCACTCCAGCTCTGGTGTGGCCATTCCCTAGCACACTGCTGCTTACAGACCCGCACTCCTACTTCCATTTTAGAAGTTCTACCTGAATTTTGACTAGCAACAGTAATTCAGCCCTCATGTATACTACCCAAGTTCATATGGCAAGTCTACCATTTCCCTCTTCTTCAGAACCCCCATATATTTCTTGCCCAAAGAAAAAAAGGTCTGGACCATTTTTTCTCAGCTCCTTACATTATTCTGCAGAGATCTTGATCCCGTTAGACTCTGACCACCATGAGGGCTTCAGAAAGTCTTTCTGTATTGCCCCTCGCATGTGGAAGTGGAGGGATGGAGATTCACAGAAACCAGTTCAGCTCCTAGGAACAATGTCTTAGGCAGTGGCTACACTCTCTGGCACCAAAGGCTAACTAAAAATTACTCCAGTGACTAAGTAGGAAAAAATGGTTCAGCGAAGAGGCCAATAAACAGCCTATGGTTGCCCAGCTATGCCCAGTGCAGCTTGGGGATAGCACTGAAGAGCTCAGGTGAACACAACATGCAGATCTGGAAACTTGCCCTTAAATACATTCCATACACACATTCTGCAGTTGTAGTACAGATATAAAACAAGCACCTAGAAAACAAGTAGTATTGGATAACTAAGATGATTAATCAAAATACTTAGCAGTGATTTTGAAGAAGGTCCTACACACCCCATTCTGGGAGCAGGCAGCCCAGTCACAGCTAGCAAGATACTTGCCAGCATCAAGTGTGGAGGAGTTGCTTGTTCACCAACCATATCTGTTTAGCACCTTCCTGCACAGCATGGTGGCAGCTCATTCTGATTGAGAAGCCTGGTATGAGAAGCCCACAAGAGGTGACCGGGAGCGTGTTACCCTAGACCAGTAGGGTAGGGTACTACCTAGCAGCACCTTGTGCAGAAGCAGGCACCACCTGCACCATCAGCAAGGTCCCTGTGCTCTGGGCAGGACAGCTGTATGAGATGTTCGTATGCAATGGAGAGGAGAAGGTAAATTGCAATAAAATGTTTTTGACAAAGGAATAGAGAAGAGGGAAAATTTAATGAATGCAGTTAGAGGGAGGACTTCCGAAAGGCAGGTGCATGTTTCCATTTTGCTATGATGTGGCAGGAAATGATTTTAAAAGTTTTTTCTCTTTTACAGTGGATCGAGACAAAAAAGTTTCCTGACAAAACCACTTAATCTATTGCAATTTGTTTCAGCATCTCCATATGTAAAGCAAAATTATCTCTCCCTTACCTACCAGAAAATTCAGGGAGTGGGGATGAAAATAATTAGTTTTGAATTCATATTCCCTTTTAAATACAATATTAAACTACAGCTGTTTAGGCAAGGCTAAAAGAGTCATCTTCCACATTGCATTCTGGGTGCAGTACAAAACCTGAGGAAGGCTGTTTCCAGCTAGCAGGTTTTGCAGCCAGATCACAGATCATCTCAAAGAAGATGGCACTGTGTCAAAGCATTCCTAGATCCAGCTCCCGACTTCCCCTCAAGCTTTCCATATTGCATTGGAGATCATCCATTTGCTTCAATTCTTCCCTCCCTTCCTCCTTCCAGATCTCAACTGTAAGTCTTAACTCATTGCTAGTTTGGGAATGGAAGGTATCATGGAAGGAGAAGAAGAGATAGCAAACTCTGCAAGAAGCTTATTAGGCCCTTGGCACCTGGTATATTGAGGGTCTTCAAGTAGATCAAGGTGACAGGTAAGAAATCACTGTAGACTGAAACTCTGGGTTTGTGCTTGTGGAGCACAGCAACAGGATCCCAATCCTACTCCACTGTATCAGATAGGCACAAAATTAAATGCAACCTCATATTTCACCATGGCTGTTACAGAGCCTTTGTCCTGGGGCTGTATGGAAGCTTGAGATTCTTATGACAAGAAGCTAAAAGATTATGTTTAGAATCCTAGAAGGCATATTACAGAAGTTCCCTCCATAGTCCTTAAGTGGGGGGGAGTGCTCAAGCTAGCCCTCCTGGCCATCACAGGGTTAATGGAATCTGCAATTCAAAACCAGCACATCTACCATGTTTTCCAATCTTGTCTGTCTAATAAATCTGGTTTCATACCATGTCTTTTCCTTTTCCCACAAACTTAATGAGTAACTAGTTTGCCTCTGGTAACACTGCAGTTTTTATTGCAGTTTGTAGGAAGAGTACTGAGTTCCTCCTTGTTCTCCTGTCCCCTCTCTTCATAAGTATATTCAATCCTTCACACAATGAAGAATGGATCTTCTTACTCATTTGGTAAACAATACAATATTTTACAGTTATAAGCCTTCATGCATAGACTAGTCTACTTGTATGTCTATGGGGGTTTTTTTAGAGCAGGTCCCTCATTATAAGGTTAAATTTCATGGTCTCTTGCAAAATCTCTCATTGTACTAGTGGGACAAGTTCTTACTGCACACTCATGTCACTCATCTGTAATACCTATAGGCTTACAGCACAGCCTAATTCTTCCTCTTTCAAATCCGTCACACTCCCAGGGTAAAGGTCTTTGCAGTGGCAAATAAATTACTCGGAACATTCTGAATGAGACACCTGTAACAAAGGACAAAGCTGAATTTACTTTTCTGATAAGCAAGTGGAAGAGCCAGACTCTTTCCAAGACTAAGATCCAGTGATCCTATGATCCTGTTTCTCCCCTGCTATCAATCAGGCAGGAATCAAATACTTGCCAATATCCAACAATAAAAATAGCTATACTGAGAGGTCATCCATATTGCACAATTCAACTATCAGAAGTTCAAGTGCTTAGGAGACCAAATCTGAAAAAACTAGACTTGCTGTGTGAAGAATTTTTGGGAGGTTAAGCAGAAGAGACCAAGGGGAGGTTTATACCCCTACCTGTTAGGAAGTTCAAAGATTAAAGCTATCCAAGGAGGAGCTGTCCCCTTATCTCCTTCAACCAAACAGGCAGAGAATTTTTCTCCTCAGTTTGCAGGGAAGAATAACCAACTTCCTTTAATGGACAAAGGCTTTTCTACAGTAACTTATGCCAACGGATTTTCACATCGTAATAGATTTTTCACTCATCAAAGACTCAAAGTTTTCCATATAGTTCTGTCAGGCAACAAGGATTGACAAGCCTGGTATCTCCTCCACCAGCAGGGCAAGTCCCAGTTGCCCAAGAGCTAGAAACACAGAACACGAGCCTATGAAATTCAACTAATAACTCTATCCTCTTTACACAGGAGGGCAGACACTTCCAGCTGCTGCACAGCCTCGAGGAATTAGGCTGAACTATTTGTGATGTGGGTGGGGAAGAGCTTTTCAGGTCTCAATCAGGTCTGGTGCAACAGTCCCAGCAAGTTCAATTAGTCACTCACCTCCCTCGTAAGATGCAGAGCAAACCTCCTCTTCTTCTATTTACATTTCAGTAGTCTAAGTATCTAAGCCTATCTAACAAGTTTGAACATTTGAAGCTAAATCTAAGCTCATAGACTTCCCAGCCGAGCTATCAGGTGTATCAGCAATGGGAGTGCCTGACAGGAGAACTTCACCTGTGAATGGGTCTGCTTTACCAGCTGCTCTGAACCCCACCAGGCATGGCCAGTTTCTCCAGGACAGATCTCCAGCAGTAATAAAACAGAACTGGAGGCTATAGAGGCGCTCTCCACACCCTTCTACACTACAAGAAAATCTCCTCGTACATAGTGTTTCTGTGATGAAGAACATTAACCCTTAAGGCAGGGTTTGCCTGCATGGTAAAAGTTGTAGAAGTTACGCAGTAGTGGGGAGGTCACAGCTCCTGAACTTCAGCATCTTCAGCTCTACCTCCACCTCATGCGGGTGTTACACTAGTAGCCCCCAACCTTGCACCCAACCAGAGACAGAAGATGTTTCCTTCCTACTATGCCAGAGGATTTGTATGCAGGAGTAACACTTTGAAGGCACGTACCTCTAACACTGTGAGCACCTGCCAAGGAACCCTTGTATTAAAACCCAGAAGAGCAGCTACATACCTGGGGGGAGATTGAAAACCACTCCTAGACACCTGGGCTTTGCAAATTTGATTCCCACAACTGATAAAACATAAACAAAAAGGGACTTGACTTTCAAAAGAGGAAAGCCACAGCACTTTCCCAATGACAAATCAGGCATCCTTAGTTTCTGTGGGTGGGGCAGAGCTAAAACAAGTCATGTAGAGTGGGGCTTTATTTTCTAGTGCTATATGTGTCAGGCTGGAACATGCCCCGATACTTACGTCACCTCAAAAATAGAAGGACTTTTGTTTGATGTTAATCAAGCAATATAGTTAGCAGATTGATTGTTAGACAAATTTCAAGTAGTAATTGCCACCTGCCTCACTTTAGATGGGCCTTTAAAATTTCAAAGAGATGAAACCTGGTGGCTGAGAAAAAGAAATGGAGAACTTTAGAGTATTGTTGGAGGATTTTGACATGCAAAAAGTATTCCTTGAGCCCTCTGAGGCTCCAATGTTCTTTTTTCCATCAAGTAAACTAAATACTACAACAGTTTGGCAGCCATTCCTCTCAATCTCCTGCTTAAAATGAAAACATTAGAAAAAAATCCCAAAGGCTTCCTTCTTTTTCAAAATTGATCCATTGCTATGATTCAGATTTCTTTGAGACAGTTTATCAGCTTTTATAAAAAACCAATTCACTTGTGCAATGCCACACTTACCATTGGCAGCCTGCATCCAGGAATGCTGGGGAAGTCATGATGCTCCATGTGGTACCCTACATTAAAGGTGAGCCAGTTCAGAGGTCCGTAATAAGAGTATGTCTCATACCCTTTCAAGAACATATAGTGTTCTGCTATGAAGTGCCCAGAAATGGGATGTAAACCCATGCAAAGAATTGTACCTGCTATTAAGTAAATAATAGGTTTGAGCCCCCAAAGGTAGTAAATTATAAGGTCTATAGAAAACTGGACGAGAGCATTAAAAATTTCCATCCTTGTAATTGCTTTGGGGTTCACATACAGTGGCCTCAGACTGTAGAATAGAGGCTGGAGGAAAAGCCAAAGCAGTTTCCGAAGTGGTGTACAGAAGAACCAGCCTTCAAAGTCTGTGGGAATGTCCACATCCAGGCTGTCCCCACCAAGGTACCGATGATGGTCAATGTGGTATTTCTTGAAGGAGGCAGAATAAGGGATGCCAATCGGCAGGTTGGCAAAGACTGCAAACCATCGGTTCCACTTGGCCTGCTTGTTCCCAAAGGCGACGTTGTGTGAAATATCATGGATGGCTAGGGTCAGGGAATGGTTGATGCAACCCCCAAAAGCATAAGCCCAGAAGAAAATCCATTTCCAAGATAAGTCTTTCACCAGGTAGCATGCTAGAAACTGCACGAAAACCATTCCAGATACAATCCACTTTAAATGTGGATCCGGTCCCATCAGAGTCTTGATCTGTGGATACTTTGCTAAAGGGAAAAACACAGAGAAAACCTCATTAGATCACAATTAGGTACCAGCACTCCGTTTTTATCACCATATGTTTGAGGCCCTAGTTTTATGAAGTGGCAATTCCAAAGCAGGATTGCCACCACAGTGAAAGCTTTCCTGATGTATGGGATCCATTCCCACTGCCAGCATCATGTTCAATTGTCATTGATACTGAGAGAAATACATACACACACACATATATGTACACAAAAAAAAAATTATCCTGATGGTCAATATGTGGCATCATGTGCCTTCACAAGGATAAGTATTAATATGCCAAAACCCACCAGATTTAAGCTCTAAGAAGCACCTTCTGTCAAGTCTTTCATTTCCCCTTTTGTTTTGCCCAATCTATTTGCTGTTTTCCACAAAAAGGATACAACTGTCTTCTTTGTAGCCCTTTCCATGCTGTTGCTTCAGACATACTAGCAGTGGAAGAGGGCTGAGCAACAGGCTTGCCAGGTTCTGCTCTGTGGTTAGGTGACAAATATAGCATTAAAAAAAATAATTCCTAAGTAGTTGAGTGTTCACCGGTGCTTACAATGTGTACAACTCTATGCACATCGTAACACCACAACTAAGTCAGTAATACTATCAGGAACTTGTAAGAAACAAACATTATTTCTCTGTTCCCATTCATTAGCCTGTTCCCAAGCCACACACCAGAAACAGGCATGAACGTCACATCAATAATCACACAACAGCTTCATGCAGCCTCACAAATGCTGCCGCACAGCCTCTGAGAGACATGGACTAGGCTTGCCTGGTCTGACCTGGGTCAGGACAGGACCAGATTACTGATCTTTAGTTCCACCGGCCATTCATTTGTCCTTTTAAGAAAAAAAAATACACAGAGAAGTACAGCTTATCTTCTAGGTGCTGTTCATTGCTTCAGGTCCCGTCTTTACTAACCCACGCTTCTCACGTCCAGTATTAACTTGCACATGAATATTTCCAATGTTTTATGGCTTTTACCCACCCGCTGGCCTCCCTCCTCTTACTCATACTCTGCATTTCTCAATAATTACAGCTTACATAGATAAGACTCGAGGACAAGTTACTCCTTCTGAACCCTGAGGTTACACAGTGTGTCCCTGTAAGTTTGATAGGCCTGTTTTATGAATAGAAAAGTAAATATCATCTGACTGACACTGTATGATACCAAGGCAATAAACACAGATTATAATAATTTGCACCTATGCAGCTGTATATACTATAAACAAAGGCAGGAGACAATGCACAACTTCATGTGACCTTGCAAGCAGTGGCAGGCACTGGGGGACAGGACACAGAGGAGGTTTTTATAGAAACAAACCCTGAAAATTGTGCAGAAATCAGACAGATGAAGCACTACAGGAAGCAGATTGATCTGCTCATGCTCTGCAGCCATTCAACCGACTTTTGGGCCTGTTGGCCAACTTCAGCCCAGCTTAACAGCGGTTAGAGACAATAAAGATTAGACAGGCTTTGCAGAAGATGGTATGAAAAGGGATATTCTCAATTCTTCCCCTTGTGAGGACAAAGGGGTAAAATCACCATGAGGAGTATTCAGGCAGGGGACATATTTTCTAAGTGGTGGGAAAGCCCTAGTAAAAGTTCACATCTTTCTAAGTCAGCCAATTTTTTTGATAAAAATCTTTAGAAAACCCAGGGGTTTGGGTTTTGCTGTTTTGTTTTTGTCCTTGTTTTTGTAGTTCTTGGAATGAGTTTTCACGTTAGAAATGCTAACATGCTAGAAATTGTTCTCTGGTACCTAGACAGGTACCAAAGTTTTACCCAAAATGCCAGGTTATCTATTCTAAAGAATAACTTGATAAAATGACCTGGTCAGAAAAATCTGTTAGCGAAATAGAATCTATTCTATAATATAAGAAATATAAGAGATAGGTTACTGCAGTCACCAGAAGAGATGAAGAGATGTAAACCAACCAAATCTGTTCCTCAGCTTGGTAAAACTTTGACCAAAAAAATGTTTTAATGGGATGGGGAAATGACTAAGAGATGCTGTATGTTGTAGCTCAAGACAATGGAAGCTTTGGACCTATTTCTTTTTGTTGCAGCTAACAAGGACTGAAGATCACATTTGGAAGGTTTCAGAGTGGTAACTTTCAACCAGCAGCAACAGTGTCTGCAAGCAGCAACACAGGTGGGTTGCATTTATCACAGGTGAGAGCTATTAAGTAACTTGCTAGGGTTTAATATTAAATGCAACACATGATTAACTCCTCTCCAACAGTAATTTTTTGCATACTGGTTAAACCACAGTAGTGTGTCTGTTTATCATTAATACTGATAAACCCTTCCCATTTCCATGGCACAGGGAAACCTTGGGGTGGCTGGCAAACTGGGCTGGTGGGTTGGTTCACTGGAGGCTAAAAGCCCGGCTGGTGGAGTAGCCTGCCAGAAAGCCTTTGGTTCAGGAACACTTCACACGCAAGACGTTGGCCCTTTCGATACCTGAGGCCAAGCACTCTTCAGTGAGATGCACTGAATCTCACATTAAGTGATCCTGATGACTGCAGTTTGTATATAAGGTGATGACACAAAGATGTATCCTGTTTTTCCCTCGTGTCCATGCCTTGCAGTTAGCTGAAGGAACACTAGCAAGGCAAGATGGAGCACTTACAGTTGAAAAACCTGTAAGGCTGCAGTGACAAATGTCTGCTGGTGATCAGCTGGGCTGTGCAAACCAGGGCTGTGCAGACCAGTGGCAGCCACCTCCACATCCCAAAAGCAACAGAGAATCAGACACAGGGCTACTGTGCAGTGCTGAACCAGGAGCCATAAAGGACTATCAGACCTGTGGCAGTCACGCAGTAAAGACAACCTTTGTTTCCTAGGAGTTGCCCTTGGAGAAGTAAACAGACACCGACTCTCCGCTCCTGAGACTCCTAGAGTCTCACCTGCTCAAAGATTTTCATCATGCTGCTCTTTGCTGAATTGCTTATGTTTTGGTCTTCTTGAGCACTTTTCCAGTGTAAAAATGACCAGCTTCTACACAATCAACGTCCATCGCTTCCCAACAAGCACTGGGTCATATTGGCCGTAAAATGTAATCTATAATGAGCTCTTCATTATGCACAATCATGGCATCGAAAGGGCACAGGAATAGGAGGAAAAACACCCAATATTCAAACCCCCACCAAGTTACGTGACCACACTGGACCAGGATTTGCCCTTTACAGTAAAATAGGACCAGGACAGCTCCAGCTACTCTGACATCTCCACAGAGTATTCTCCAACCTCCAGATCATTGGGAAAGTCTGTTAGTTCATCCTGGCAGACTGCTTATCCACACGTGCTGCTTCCAGGCTGTCCATCACGCTGCCATTCAGAGGGTGGGAATACTGGTGTAGACGTACACCTGTGGAGAAGCATGATTTTTCCGTCCTAGCATACCACAAAAGCAGTGCAAGCACTTTAGTAGTGGTGATACCCACTTTAGTGGGTAGATATAGTTAATTCTGCCCAAATAGCTCCACAGCCTCTACAGCATAACCTCAGAGCAGCTGAAATCTGCACCATGACGATGAGAGACAGCATCTCCCTCTTGTACAACAGTCCAGAGAGAACAGATGCTCCAAGTATATTTTAAGAAGCATTTATGATTCTGAAACAATTCAGTTACTAAATTAACATTTCATGGAGATCACTCTAGTGTTGTGTTTAAGCATCAGTCACCTTTCTAGAAGCACACATCACTCTGAAACACTACTGACCAATTACTCTAGCTACACACTTTTTTCCTTAATGTTCCTCTCAGTGATGCTTAATTAATTGTTTCTGGAGAAGTTGTCAGTCACTAGGTCTTCATGTTCCTCCTCCTCAGGAGATAGTGAATATTTTCTTCTGCACCCTCACTCATCCTTTATTCCCACTGAAAATGCTCCTGAGATGACTCAGGAGAGACCCAGTTAGACCTCAGTGATGGCAGCAGACACAATTTCTCCTTGATGTAACACCACATACTTAGCACTTGCACATTTTGGCACACATGGGGTTTGGATGTAGGCACGTGGGAGCTCTGCACAAACACAGGTGGAGGTTGACAGGAGCAGCAGCCCTGCTCACAGCCATGAGAAGCTAGTAGTAACAAAAGAAGAAATTTAATTTCTTCACATTCCTGTATTTTGACCACAAGTGCAGCATATAGGTACAGTCAAAGTAGAGATAAGTATAAGACTTTTAGAAGACCTTTTAAAAAACGGGAAGAAACCCCCTCTGTGATGCTACTATGTGGACTATGTTCTATCAACTATGAGTCCCTGCCAGAACAAATAAGAGATACCAGGCACAGGATGTTAGCTTTACTGCCCCATGCCCTATGCTGGAGCTGGTATATGGACCAAAAAAAATAAACAAAAGAAGTCAGTTTCCTAACATGATAGTGTTTTGCTTTTTAGCAGCTCATGTCACGAACATGCTCATAAACAGCACAGAACACTTGTGCCCTTGGCACAAGAAAGACGTGGACTTGTTGGAGCGGATCCAGAGGAAGACCACAAACATGATGAGAGGGCTGAAGCACCTCTGCTGTGAGGACAGGCTGAGAGAGTTGGGGTTGTTCAGCCTGGAGAAGAGAAGGCTCCGGGGAGACCTTATTGCACCCTTTCAGTTCTTAAATGGAGCCTATAGGAAAGATGAGGACAAACTTTTTAGCAGGGAAATGCTAAATTGTTCAAGGTCAGTTTGGATGGGGCTCTGAGCAACCTGGTCCAGTTGAAGATGTCCCTGCTTATTGCTGGGAGGGTTGGACTAGATGATCTTTAAAGGTTTCTTCCAAACCTTCTGTGATACTATGATTAATTCAAGCCATACGTGAACCAGGACACACAGAGAGGACAACGTGCATGATAAAAGCTTCTGCCTTTGAACAGTTTCCTGCCCCCTCCAGTGTGCAAACTAATAAGAAACCTTTCTGGCCCAACTTACTACATTAATTTTTTTTATATTCTTGTATATGTGCAAGGATAAGGGTCTTAATCTCATATTTGCCACCCACAAGTTCCTAAATTGCTTTATGCCAGCTGGTCCAAGGGAGCTGGGTCACCTAGAAGTGGCCACCAGAGGCAAAGCACCACAGTGGTGCCACACTGCCAATGTCAACCAAGATGGGTGGTGTCAGCACATCACTATGACAGCAGCTACAACCTCCTTGTTTCGCTTGTTTATTAGCTGGTTCAGAGTAAAGGGGTGTAGGAATGCAAGAAAGAGGGCTTCCAGCTCCCTCCGAAACAAAAACCTGCGACATGGAGTAAGCAAAAGCCTTCAGTTGCACTTAATACATTGCCAGCAGAAGACCAGAAGCACCTAAACCAGTGACTTTCTGCTCATGTGATTTATTTTATAGGTGATGCCCACAGGGAATTGGCATGAGCGCTGAGATAGCAGCTATTCTGAATGTGCTCATCAGTGGCAGCACTGTGCCCACGTACTGCAGCACAAAGGGGAAACAGACTCACAGGTTCTTTGCCAGAAGCATATGTAATTCAGAGCTTTGATTTAAGCTAAGGAGATATGCATCTTGCACATTTCAGTAGGTACAATTTATCAGAATTTTCATAAATGTGAGGTTTAAATAGGCAAGAGAAGAGTCAGCTCTTCCAGTCAGCTCTAGACTAATCTCTAAATAAGTGAGTAGAGCTGGAAGCTATTATACTCGGATCGGTGGATTTTGGCTTTTTTATTTTGTTCCACCTCTCCCCACCCACCCACCCCATGCATAGGCTAACATCTCAGCCTTTCTACAGGATAGGGCACACATAAAACACTTGCACCATCTCCACTCCAATAACTTGTCAAAGAACTAATTATATATTTATTAATTGTTTATTAATTGTTCTTGGATGTTAGATCATATCCTGGTGCTTCTAGCCTATCCTGAGCAACACTGATTCAGACCTTATCCTCAGCAGCAAACAAGTGCTTCCTTAACAGGCTGCCCAGAGAGGTTGTTGAGTTTCCTTTCCTGGAGATATTCAAAATCCACCTGGATACGTTCCGGTCCAGCCTGCTCTAGGTGAACCTGCTTTGGCAGGGAGGTTGGACTAGATGATCTCTGAAGGTCCCTTCCAACCCCTACAATTCTGTGACTCTAAGGATCCTATGAGGCAAGACGTTTTCTGACCAACCTTCAGTAATTGTATGAAGCTAAATCCAACCCACAGCACAAATAAGATCTCATTCTTTTCATGCCACAACATATTGCTCATTGCTTGCCATTGGAAAGCTGTTTGCAGGAGAAATGACCATTCACTGTCCGCTTATGGTGCTACCAGCATCTGAGCAATGATTTTCTTTATCTTCTCTCAAGAAAGAAAAAACACTAACACTTCCCACTGTGCAAGACCATAGTTCTCCAAGTATTTCAATCCAACAAACCCTTACTGCCACTGAAGTAGAAATCCTGTTTCGACTAGAAGTAGATAACCCCTCTGTGTTATCCCCTGTGTTATATCTCCCTCTAATATTATATATATATAAAATATTATATAACTATACAGCAAGGCTAAGCAGACTCAGATGAAAAACAACTTTCTTAACGTCAGATTAGTTTTTAGGCAGGTCTTTCCCTAACACAGCTCACTGCAGCATTACACAAATCTCAGTCCTGACACAGGACAGTAACAGGCTTTTCATAAACAAGAGGGTGAAAGAACAGCAACAAAACAATTCAGTTCAATAAACTGAAAAGCGTGAATAACGTGTTCAGGAACGTGAATAACGTGATCAGGGTGGCAGTGCCAGCTTGGCAAGAGATCTCCACCGTAACGCAGAAATAGCTGGCACCTCGACGGTACCAAACACAAACTACATTTTAATACCTAGAGTCTAAGAGGAAGATACTACAAAGAGATAAGAGATGAAGAGATCACCTCTCCCTTGCGCAAAATGTTGATGTATTTGCTGGTATAATTATAGCCGTGCCTGGTAGGTTCATCTACTCCAACAGTGTCCTGCCATAAGCTAACTTCCAGCCAGTGCTGTTGATAAACACAGCTCATAGCTCTGCTGCTCAACTGGAACAGGTTGCCCAGAGAAGCTGTGGATGCCCCATCCCTGGAAGTGTTCAAGTCCAGGTTGGATGGGGCTTTGAGCAATCTGAGCTAGTGAAAGATGTCCCCGTGGTAGGGCAATTCACGGGGTACTCACAGGGTTACCATTCAGACATATTGTCACCGACTAGAAATATCTTCTAGACACCTGGGCCACTAACTCTCAAGGCAGGATATACAGCTCTGTGACACACCAACTGCTCTACAGAAACATATTGGAACAACAGCTTAAGGAAACACCACTTATGTGGAAAGAAACAGCCTTATGTGCTTGTCAGTTTGCCCATATTTTTTTCCTAATGGATAATTTCAATTTGCATTTAAATCCAAGTGTCATGCCTGACATTTCAAAAAGCTGAGCCTAAACAGAAAACAATCAAGTTTCAGTGCTTAGCAACTAAATCATTAACCTATTGAGAGGAAAATACTTCCTTTAACAGCATGGAATGCTGTCCCCAAGGCATTGCTATATACAAAAACATAAAACAGGTGGGTATTTATGGATAGTTGTTCATATGTATGTAAGATTCTTACAGTGCACTGCAGCCTAGTAGACACTAGACACTTTGGTCAGTACATACTCTAGATACCAGGGGGTTGCTGACTCTCAGGCTTTGAATAATAGAGTGATGATCACTATACCAATATCATATGAGATACCATGATTGTTTCAATAACTTTTGGTAACATTTTGGTATTCAAAACGCTAGTTTCATGACCCATTCTGCCTTGTCAGACGCAGATTGTTCTGCCTACAGCTTCCAGGTCTCTCTTTCCACGCTGTATTTCTCTATGTCCTTCCTTCTGCTCCCAACAGCTGGGGCAGAGGGACCTGCAAGGAAGCAGATGGACCTTGATTCCAATTGCTTGTTCTGAACCCAAAGAGAGTGGGACCAAACCCTCTGCAAGTGGGCAATTGAAAGGTCCTAAAAAGAGTTTGCTGCAGCAAGCATAAAGAAGTCCAACCACTCCAGTGCCTCCTTCCAATACAACTTCATCATGGTTTGCAGTCCCCATTCTCCAGCAAGATAACGAAAGGAAGAGATTAGCGAGGAGAGAGACCTACCATACCCACTCCTACCCACAGCTCACCCAAAACATAGTCCTCTTGACCAAGCGGATGAGTAGCATGACACCAAGAAGCACCATTTTATATAATAACATATTTGACTCTGCATCATGATTACATAGTAAAATAATTATTATTTTCCTGCATATAATCCAAACCTAGATATTCCACCACCACATCTATACCGGAAACGTTTTTGTAATTTAGATTAATCCTGGATTAATCTACTAGATTGTGGAGGAGTTTAGAAACTACACCCAATTGCCATAGACCCTGAGCAGCACGTCAGCCACAAGTCCCAGTGCCTTCCTTTATAAAAGATCTTTAAAAACTTTATCCTACTCATTAGAGGGAAGGAAAAAAATCCAACCAAACAACTCAAAACAAAAAAGGGGAGGGGTGGGTGGCTCAAAATCTTCTTTATTAATAAAGCATTGACAAGATGTTTTCAGGAGATACGCAACAATATTCTGCAGCAATTCTGAATTACTAGTTCTTTTCAGAAGCTCCCTTCAGAAACTCAAACCCCCAAACCAAAAGCAAAACCCTCCCAACCCATCACACTCCCGTTCGCAGGTAGGTGCTGCCCGTCCAGCATGAAAATACAAGGGTGCACCTTGTCCCTGGCCGGCAGCGGGGACTTCCTACCGCAAACACTCAGCCACAGCCTCATTTATTTTATTGCACTGCCGGGACACCGGGAAAACCCGCCTGCAGGAGAGCTCCCGCTCACCCCCGCCCCGCACGGACCCCGCAGCGCTGCCGCCCCCCCGCCGGCCCGGGGCCGGGTGCGGGATGTGGGGACGCGGCTGCGGTTGGTCACCCCGCAGTGTCGCCCCGCCACCGCCGCCCGTGTAACCAGCCCTGCCTCTCCGCTGCCTCCTCCAAAAAAAGCGAGGAGGAGAGTTTGGGAGAAGCAGCACCCCCCGACGGGGAAAACACCCCTCCGAGCTGCAGCCCCCGCGCTCCGCAGCCCGGCGGCACCCGCATCGGGGGAGCCGGCACCCGCATCGGGGGTTTCCCCCGCCCTCGAAAAAAAGGGGTTCGCTCCAGCCCGGCCGGCGGCCGCTTCCCAGCCCCTCGACGTACCCAGGATCTCCTTCCTGCGCTGCGTGTGGGGCTGCTCCGTGTAGACCCACTCGAAATCCCCGCGGGTGACGCGGTTCCCCATGGCTCCCGCTGCGCGCCGCGGTCGCTCCGCGCCTCCTTTTATAGCTCCGCGCCCGGCGGAGGGACGGGACGGCTCCGCCCGCCTCCTGCCTCCGCCCCGACGGCTGCCTCTCGCCTCCGGCGGGCACCGGGGCTGAGCCCCGACGGGGCGGTCGCGGGGGGAGCCGCGGGAGCTGCAGAGCCCCCCTCGGGCGTGCGAGGAGGGGGGGAGAGGGTGCCTCAAGGCTGGCTGTGGGGCAGGAGAGGGGTGACCGCCACGCTATAGGGGGCCTCGAAGGTCGGGGAGCGATGTGTGTGGGGTGGGCGGTGGTTTGCAGGGCAGCGGGATCCCCATCGTCCTGCTGCCACCACCGTGGGGACCACCGGGGCTCAGCACAGCCACTACGGGCATCCCATCCCCTCTGGGGACAGCCTCAGAGAACACGGGGGTCACCAGCACCACAGGTCTGTCCCCAAGCACTTCCAGACAAGGTTTTTGGAAAGCAAGGGCAGTCCAAGTGCCATAAATCTAGTGCCACAGCCCCAGGAGAGAACACGGGGGTCACCAGCACCACAGGTCTGTCCCCAAGCACTTCCAGACAAGGTTTTTGGAAAGCAAGGGCAGTCCAAGTGCCATAAATCTAGTGCCACAGCCCTAGGCTCACCCTGCGGCTTAGGATAAAAAAAAACCCCAGCCATGTGAGCTCCTCCCAAGGGTGGAAGAGCTATGACAGCGTGAAGATGACCAACACCTGACACACATTCCCTTGGCGCTCTGACAAACCCTGTGTGAGTTGTCCCAGCAGCATCCAGCCCTTGGCTGGGTCACGCTTCACTCCTGGGAGGCTGTGGCCCATTTCCCAGCTCCGGTGCCGTCGCCGCCGAAGTAGCAGGAAATCCCACTGCTTCCTTGTTAACGAAGCCAGGCAAAGGGCCTGCTAACCTGAAAACTGAGGTAACCTTGCCAGCCTCTCTAGGCTCTCTGATTCACAGGGAGAGGACTGAAACACATGGTGGTGTTTCTCCAGACGCACAACCCAAAATTAAAGTGCTGCTTTTGTTGCCACTACGCTCTTTTGCAAGCCCATACATGAGCTGCTGTCCATCTTCAGGGTTCACCATCCCTAGCATCACTCCTGCCCCTGACAACATCCCTTTTGGATCCGCTCCACACTCAGTAGACAATTTTGCTTCATCCTTTTTCAATATGACTATCTTTCAATATGAATCTTCCCCCATACTCTTGTATCCTTAAAAATGCCAATCACAGCAGGAAGTTAAAAGGGGTAAAAAAGTAGCCTCGCAAACGTGAAATGTAAATATTTCTCAGTGGGAATTTTTGCCTGCTAACATTGGCGATACTAGCACCTCTTCTTTTAGTCTAGTTATGACTGTTGGGTAGCACAATTGCATGAAGTGATATGGGTTTAAAAAAAAAAAAAAGAAAAAAAAAAAAAAGAAAAAAACAACAACCCACAAACCCAAAACACTGACACCTGACTGCAAGAAAGGTCCAAAGCAGGTTGAGTGGGTGGGGTATGGTGTAGCCTATGAAGGTATGGTGCAGCTTCGCCCAGGGTAGGAGCAGGAGTTTAACCACAGGTCAGCTCTCTATAGGTACAATGGTTTCTTCACCATTGCTCCAACATGAGGTTGGTGTTCTCCCATGAAGTTGTGGTGCCCAACCCAGTTAATGGACTGCTAATCCAAGTTAAGAATTGTTCGGGGAGCAGATGCATCAGTATCTCAGCCTAAACCTTTAATTGGCTCAAACGTTTTGGCTTGTTGACAGTATCGGTGGAGAAGCCAAAGACGGCATGAACGTGATGACACCCTTCTGTCACTTCCTGCTCAGGAGTGCTCAAGGTGACTAAAAAAGCAAATTAGTGGGGCAGTCCATGCAGTTGCAAAGAAAACAAATATGATTTCATCCCCCAAAGTTTATCCAATAGGTAGTGCTATTGCATGTGGAAAATTAAGTACCTCCTTTGCAGGCAACGGCATTGTCTTTATGGAGCTTATTACTATGGGCTCAACCCTACCACATGAGAAGAACAAAAAGCTTTTCTGTCTCCAGTGAGCTGGCATCTCTCTTTGAGGATAGAATTTCACGCTTTATATTTCTATAATAAACCAAACAAATTATACTAATTTCAGAGTAATTGTGGATGCCAGACAAACAAGAAACGCCAGCTTTAGACTGTCTTCTAAAATTGGCAGAAGTGTTATTATTCAGCTCTTGACCATTTGGCACCATTAGTTTTATAGCATCCTAGTAAAGTGCAAACAGGCTTGCAATCATTCACAAAGGAAAAGGAGGGGGGGATTTTAATGTCACCCAATAATAATAGACTTTCTCATGAATATTACAAAGATCATGAACTCTAGAGATTCATGTACTCACTACACTTTATGGCAATTCAAACATGCTTCATATGGTCAGGTTCTCCCAGCTGTCCCCTTCCTTTCTTCAGCAGTTTCCTGTGTTTGTTCAGGATTTCTAACCATTGAGAAGCCCAGCTGAGAGAAATTCCTAACACACTCAACAGGAGGAGCCCAATTGCTGACTCTGTGCGAGGTACCATGAAATATCTCATTTGCATAGTTTAAAGTACACATCACACTCACCTCAAGCACTCCAGCTGGCAATTTCCAGGGTAAAAAAGACTAAAAATCCTTTGCTCTGCTGAGGACATGACCTACAATATGCAGCTCTGAGACAAGCCATACTGGTCCTCTTTTCCACATGGCCGGACAGACTCACACCCCCCCACCCAAAGGTGCTTTTCCACCAGGTGTGTTCCCAGCAGGAAGGTATTTCTGCTAAGCAACACAGCCACTTCCTCCTCCGCTAATTAAGAGCCCAGGTGACACAGTCAATGCAGCAGGAACACCTGCACACGTTTCCCAGTGGCTATTGCCAGCCTGAGGAACAGGCTTGGTGTTTGAGGCATCTGGGTTCTGCCCCAGAGTACAGGCCTTAACCCCTCTTCTTCTGGTTTCCAGAGAAAACTGGAACTCTTTGTTAAAGTTGATGTTCTGGAAGTAAAAAAAAAAAGTTGCTTGATAATTTTATCTCTAAATAAGGTGTTTTCTCCTCTGAATAAAGAGCTCCATGCCCCATGACAGACTTGTATTTTCATTTCCTGACTTACCTAGTTTCTCTTCTGTCTGTATAAACTGGGTCTTTCTTAATAGTTAATTTTATTACCTAAAGAAAACATAGCTATATATTTGTTTAGAAAACAAGTTGTGGTCATTTTGAATTGGGTGTCACTCTCTGACTTGATGTGACTAGTGACAAGGTTTACAATGTGATGTAGTTTATTGAATAAAGTCAAATTTTCATATGCAGCACAGTTTGTAGGTGAGCCACATCATCAACACACACCCCCCCACTGGAGTTAGCTCAGGAGAAACAATTCACCAACAAGCCCTACTTTCTGCCTTCTCCTCTTACCTGTGCTGAGCCTGCCCTGCCTCATTAACCCTTTCCACTGGGTTAACTCTATGCCAGAGCTGTGAATTTAATCGACCAAAGAAAGGTGCTGAGGAGCTGCTGTAACAGAGTCTTAGGGGGAGAATGACGTTTTCCTTTGGGCAGGGGTAATCTGTTAGATGCATTTACAGAATCACAGAATCTTCTAGGTTGGAAGGGACCTTAAAGATCATCTTGTCCAACCATCAACCTAACTGACAAAAACAGACACCCACACAACAAACAAGGAGCATCATCACTAAACCATACCTCCCAGCACTACATCAACCCATCTTTTGAACACCTCCAGGGATGGTGCCTCAACCACCTCCCTGGGCAGCCCATTCCAATGCCTGATAACCCTTTCAGTGAAAAAATTTTTCCTAATATCCATCCTGAACCTACCCTGGCACAACTTGAGGCCATTTCCTCTTGTCCTGTCGCCTGTGACTTGAGAAAAGAGACCGACCCCCACCTCTCTACACTCTCCTTTCAGGGAGTTGTAGAGAGCAATAAGGTCTCCCCTCAGCCTCCTCTTCTCCAGGCTGAATAACCCCAGCTCCCTCAGCCTCTCCTCATAAGACTTATTCTCCAGACCCCTCACCAGCTTTGTCGCCCTTCTCTGGACCCACTCCAGCACCTCAATGTCTTTTTTATGGTAGGGGGCCCAAAACTGGACGCAGTACTCAAGGTGAGGCCTCACCAGTGCCGAGTACATTTAGTTGTATGACATGCAACCCACCCTTTATGCAGTAGGATGCTTTCCTGTCAGCTCGTACAACAGCCCTGTTTGCCCAGCACTCAGCACACCCTGCTGGATCTGGATCCAGCCTGGTCCATAGTGTCTCTGCCTGGGAGCTCCCAAGACGGGAAATGAGGGTCAAAGAAAGAAATAGCTCCCTCCGAGAGGCGCTCACTTCTGCCCGAGCCTATTGCTTCCAGCTTTCCCGGGATCCCAGCTCTGTGCTGAGGTGCCCATCAGCACTCAACCCCTTCCTGCGCCGGGAGCAGCGGGAAGCGCGCAGGGAGAACCAGCGCAACTCATCGCCGGCATCCGCGGGGTCTGGGTACCCACGGCACCCGCGCGGGGACGGCTGCGTGGCTGGAAGGCTCCACGCTCCCGTGGCCGGGA